AAGATATACTATTTTAAAAACAGCTATGCCTAAAATTGTGCTGGGTTTGGAACAGATCCATACCGGTCCCTGAGTTCTCTGTCATAGCTCTCTCTTGGCAAAGGAGAAGGGGCTGGAACCCTGCTCTCTGCCAGCTTGCTCCAGGCCACTTCCAGTCAGCCAACTTGGTGGCTTCTTGCCTCCCTGGCCTCTGGTTCCTGTTGAGCCTGCTTTCCTAGGTCTGGCTCCTCTCCCAAAATTCCCACGCAGCCTGGATTTGTCCTAGCAACTTGGATAAATCTGTCCAGTAGTCCCTGCTCTCACCTCTGCTTATCCTTGGGAAGTAGACTGCATTCCTGGCCCATTCATTCTGATTCTTTGTTATCAATGCTGTTTGAGGCACACCTCTCACTCTGACGCTGGTCCTAGGGAGGGGATGAGACTTGTAGAGCTGCACCAGATAGTCTCCATCAGGACTTCAGTACACTTCTAAAATCACAAAGAATAATGCGTTATTGTTCTTTTACATCATTGAGCTTTGGATGTTTTGTTACGCAGCAACAGCTGATTGATGCAGGAACACAAAGCAGCACCCAGATCCCACCCTATGTCTTACCTAGACCTAGAATGGAATTATTACACAAATGGAATCAATTATGTCTGAATTTTCATAAGCATGCACATTATTGGCTCAATAATATTACCCTGCCTAGCACTGCGGAGAAGAGGTGGGGCAAATGGATTTGAGGGAGCAATCTACAGCTCTTATCTACAAACTACACAATCTCTCTCCTACTTCACAGAGCTGGGGGGTGAAGGAGACAGGATGAGATTTGGGGATGTCTCCCACCCTAGGGACAGTGGGCAATGCCAGGTCACACATGCCCACTAATGCCAAAGTGTTGGAATTTTCATATTTCTGGAATTCTAGGGTCCTCTTGTATGTCACAGATGGCAGAGCTTTTCACCTTCTTTCCCTCTGCCCTGACTGCCAGCTCCTCGGAATTCTTCTTTCCAGCTCACATAACTTTTCTTTCAGGAAGTCATGGTCTGGAGAGGGCCTTGTGCCTTGGTGAGCAGACACTCAACCCTGCTAGTACTGTATGAGCTGTGAGGGTTTTAACTTTAGTCATTGTATAAGATTCTCCAGGAAGAAAATGGGACCGATGGGTCTTACATAGTCACATGGAAATGGATACAGGACCAGGATATACAATGGGAATTGGCTCAAGCAGTTAAGGTCATGGTTTGTATTAGAAATGTCTTCCACAGGCTCATGGTTTCATAGCACGGTCCCTAGTTGGGAGTTGTATTTTGAAGGCCCTGGAGTTTGTAGGAGGTGGAGCCTAGCTGGTAGAAGCATATGATACCCACTCCCAGCCCTGGCTGCAGCTTCAGGTTCCTTCTCTAGCAGGATGGAGTAGCCACTTGCTTCCACCACCGTGGATTGTCTCTGTGTAGGTGTAGCTCTCATAACGACGGACTGAGAGACCCTGGAAACCAGAGGTCAAATCAGCCCTTTCTTCCTAAGGCTGCAAAGTAACTTATAAAATTATGAATGGAGGCTGAACAGTCTCCAAATGGGCCACTTCAGGCCTGAGAATCAGGAAGGCAATTCAGCATGAGTCAGGATCTCCGCTGTCCAAGGAGCAAGAGAAGGCACTGCCTGTTAGACTAGAGTGAAAAGTGATCCTTCTTCTACCTGGGAACGAGGATCAAAGATGCGCTGTGTCAACTAGGCTACCTTTGGGATCCTCATTTTTTTAAAAAATATTTTTTTTTGGGTGCTAGGAACTGAATTTGGGTCCTCTGGAAAAGTGTTATGTAGCACAAATCATAAAAACCCAGAGGCAGATATTGGAGTTCAACCTGAAAACCAGAGAAGAAATGCGGCCAAGCTACTAGAGAAGTCTTACCTCTACCAAGATTGGGTGACCACAGACTAAGCAGACGAAGTCTCTCTCTTCTTCCATTTTATAATCATTCCTTCTAGTGCTGTGATTAAAGGTGTGTGTCACCATTGCCTGACCTGTAGTGGCTTTAGCTTTGCCTTCGGTCTTCAGGCAAGATTTATTTTTCAAAATACAAATAATAAACCACTTCAGTACTACTCACTCTTAGCCACTGAGCCTTCTCTTCCGCCCTGCTTTAGTTTTTATTATGTGTGCGTGTATGATGTGTCTGTTTGTGTTCTGTGTGTGTGTGTGGGGGGGGTTACGTGCATGTGAGTGCAGGTGCCCATGGAGGCCCTTTGGGTTCTTGACCCCTAGAGCTGGAGGATCTGAAGCTGAAATCCAGTCCCCTGAAAGGGCAGCAAGTGCTCTGAACCTCGGAGACATCTCTCTAGCCTCCAGGGATCCTCGTTTCCAAGCTAAGGTTTCAGGAAGTTTCCAGAGAGGTTTAATGTGCTAAGTGTGCTAAGTGTGGTTGGCACCATCCTGTGGATTGGGCTTCTAGACTGAATGAAAAGGAGAAAATGCGAAGCCAGTGAGAGGCAGAATTCCTTTTGTCTCTTTCCTGGCCTGTGGAGATGGGATGACCCCGACGGGAGCTCCTGACACTATGAACTCTGTCACGCCTTCCCCACCAAGAAGAGCTGCCTAAAACACACATGGCTACTTGCCTTCTCCTTCTGCTGCTTCTGGGCCAATGGATTCCTCAGGGAAGCGTTGAGAGGTCGAGGGGGAACTTGCTTAGAAGCATCCAGAAAGAAAGTTGTATTTGTGTAGTGTGACTCCCTGTTTAGAGCCAACCACTTTGAATCCCGATGCATTGCCTTTAGACTGGAGCTAGGGCTGGGTCAGTCTGCTGTAGGACAATCTCTGTGTGATTTGGGGATGACCCCATCCAAGAGGGGTGGAGGGTGGACAGCAACCCATGGCCATTTCAGGGCAGTTAGGAACCAGGGATACCAGATCTAGTTCTTACTTTTGGGTTGCTTTGACTGATACGATAAGAACGAGCTAAGGGAGGGAACATTTGTTTTGGCTCATCATATAAGTGGTATTGGTAAGCCGTCATGTGCCGTTTGCACTCATTGAGAGCTGACTCTGAGAGCAAGACAGACTCCCTCCCTCCTTCTCTCAGATTCAACCAGGTTTATCTCAATTGTCTTAGGAGACACTTTCCTGGGGCAGCTGGCCTCATGCTTCTGGGACAGGGAGGAAGGATACCACACAGCTAAACTGCATCCATGAGATAACAGATCAAGGGTGATCCATTTCTAACTGTTATTACTGTCGTTTCTCCTGTGATTGAAAATGCCTGCGGGAGCGTGGGGGGGGGGGTGAGAAGTGGGGAGCTTGACAATGGCGAGAACCCTCTGCTCTAACTGCACATATCCCAGCTGAACTCCAGTCTGACCAGTCTGACTGCTGGAGTCTGACAGACTCAGCCGGGCTTCCCCAGCCTTTCTGGGAGATATTATGTATCTGCTGTTTGCTACTTCTTTTATTTTTGCTTGCTTTCCCGGTCTGGCTCCTCTAATTAGTTCTGCTGGGTGTTTTAAGGGCCTGATTTGGTATTTTGTAATCTATCTGCCTCTTGCTATTTGTTCTTGTGCTTTTGCTTGATACATGCTTAATAAACTCACTCAAAAAACTAAAGCTATCACTGATCATTTTCTGTATGGAATGCTGTTTCAGAGGGTTCAGTCCGTTATGTTAGAGAGGCATGGTCTGTCTGTCTCTGTTTACTCCGCAGCTAAACAAGAAACAGAGAGTAAGAGAAGTGACCAGAGATGGGATACCCACAAAGACTCACCCCCATTGATCCACTTCCTCCACTTAGGTCCGACATCCTAAATTTTCAACAGTCTTGCAGTTGGGGATCAAGTACTGAAACATATACGTGGGGTCGGTTCATATTCAGAGTAGAGCACCAGAGCAGCTGCTCCTGAGGTCGCTGAGGCTGAGGGATGCTGCTGATGTCAGGAGGGCAAGAAGAGTGTTTGGATCCTGACTGTTTCAGAAGTGGCTGCGTCTGCAGGGAGGGAGGAATTCCACTTTGCCACCTTCCCCAAGTGGTCCCTGCCTTTCTTTCTTTGCTGCAAATGAAGTAAAGGTGGATGTGGACTTGGGAGCTGGGACAGAAATGGGGGGTAGGGCAAACGGACCCATAGAGAGTCTGAATTCTACAGGTGCCTACCGGTCTGTCTATTTCTATACAACAACACTAAATGAACAGTAGTGGTCCTATAGTCAGGACTTGGGGTAGACTTAAGACACTTTGGCCGGTTCTACTTAGTGAGGTCGACTGGAGGACTACCATCAACAGAGGCCACACTGGAGGACAAAGAGGATCTAAGAGACTTACTTTTTTTTCAGACGAGGTTCCACTGTATAGCTCTGGCTGGCCTGGAACTTGTTATGTGGCAGACTGGCTTCAAATATACAGATATCCACTTGCCTCTGCCTTCTGAGTGCTGGGGATTAAAGGAGTGCACCATCACCCCCAGTCCACTAGTTTTAAAATAGTAAATGGAACAGGGAAGGGTATTTATTTAGCTCAGTTGGTAGAGTGCTTGTCTAGCAAGCCCCAAGTCTTGGGTTTGGTCCCCACAGCTAACCAAAACAAAACCAGGACCGTAAAATACGTGGGACAGAGCAGCAGCTACCTTTGAAAAATGTGTTAAATGGTGCATACGTAGTAACATAGTAATATTAATATAGCAGCTTAATATATATAAGGAAACATTGTAATGTGTGCGGTAATTAATACGCAAAATACAGTTGCATATTATGCATTTTAGCTCATTAAAACACATTAGCTCATTAAAAAAGCATGGGAAAGAGTTGAATTCGATAAAATTAAATGAGTTTATGAAACAGCCTCAGTGCACGAATTAAGTTCCTATCACCACAGGCTGCACTGAGTGAGCAGGGACTGGCGCCCTCAGAGCCGAGCGCGCTTCCAGAGCCGCTCAGCCTCCGCCCCGCCCCTCGGCCCGCCCCACCATAGCTCCGCCCATTAGGGGCGGGGTCTGAGGGACTCCCGGCGTGCTGCGCGGGCGGGGCGAGGGGCGGAGCGTGCGCGGAGGCGCGGAGGAGGCGCGGCTGCTGCGGGGCGCTTGGACGGGCCCCTACTGCGGGAGAAGAGCGTGGCGCTCTTGGTGTAGGGCCTGCTGCTCCGAGGCGGCGGCGGCGGCAGCGGCGGCGGCATGCGCGTGTGAGATGAGGCCTCGGGTAGCCCGGACGCGAGCAGCGGCCCCCGGGGCAGCGGCGAAAGCGAGCGCGGCCTCTTCAGAGCGCTGCGCACGGTGCATGAGGGCTAGCGCGCGGGCCCTGGGCAGCCGCCGGCCACGCCGCCTCTATAAACACTTGTTTAGGACTTGTTCGCCTCGTTGAGGCCGCGGCGCCGGGCATGGAACCCCCGCCCGAGCCGGAGCCAGAGCCCCAGTCCCTTTCCGAGGCCTCGGCCGCCGCGCCGCTGCGCGCCCCAGAGGTGGCGCGGCTCCGCGAGGAGCAGGAAAAGGTAACAGGCCGCGCTAGGTTTCCGTCCTGGCCGGCTTCCGCCTGCGGCCGCGACGGAGGCAACCTCTAAGGCGGCCACGCGGGAGCTGCGCAGCCTCGGGCCAGCGGGGAGCCGGGGGGGGGGGGGGGAGAGAAACTTTTGTCACGTGCATTTGTTGTCTTTTGTCTGGAGTCCTTTGACCTTCACCAGGAGGGGTGCGTGGGGATTACCGAGGGTCCAGGAGGATGAGGCAGTCTGTTGACCCTTGAACTGAGAGCAAGTGTTGAAGCTAAATGCGGCTCGAGAGCCTGGGAACTTCCATTTTTTAGTGGGGGGATTGCACTGTAAACAGAAGTGGTCACTCCTTTTACCTCTTAGCTCTATGGCTTGAATGTTGCTAAAACACACACACACACACGGACGCACGCACGGACACACGATTCTCATTTGAGCGTCCAAGTTTGACTACGTTAGTGATGATGCACTTCCTGTGCATTTCCAGCTTTGGGGTTTAATAGTTGAAAAGAGAGAGGCCTTTCTGTTAAATTTTAACTTCAAGCATATAATAACGAGGCTTCCCAGAGGAGAGGAACATGCTTTCCACCTCCGATGGGATTCTTGTGTAAGGAAGTGGGCTCGAGTTAAGAACTACGACTTAATTGGTCAGTATGAAAATGTCCTGTGGGCCCGGCAGTGGTGGTGCACACCTTTAATCCCAGCACTTGGGAGGCAGAGGCAGGCGGATCCCTGAGTTCGAGGTCAGCCTGAGGTACCATGTATTATTAAGGTTTAGGAAGTTGCATCAGAACCATCAAAATTTGAGAAGCTCCATTTTTTTTATATTTAAATATTTTTATTTTAAACTTTATTCATGTTACTTATTTGTAATTTATTCCTTGAGAATTTCGTACATGTATATACAGTCAATTTCCTGCCTCCAATTTACATTCCCTGCAACACACCCCTCTTCCAGAACTCATGCCTTTTTTTGTTGTTGTTGTTTTTAATTTTTTTTAATAACGCAGTCCAGCCAGTGCTTCTCATATGTGCATGGGTAGGACCAGCCACTGGAGCATGGGCAACACACTAGCTGCCTCAGTCAGTAGCTCTTCAGTTAGGGGTGGGGCCTCGTGAGCTCCCCCATCTAAGCTTGAAGTTTTCCTGTGAAGCCCAAACTTTTCTTAATGAATAGACCTATGTAAATGTCTATAAAACGTGATTACGATATACTGAGGTTAACTACACGAAGGATTTCATATATCTCAAGAAATCCCTCTTGGCTTGGAAACCACCTGTTAAATTGTAGGAGTTTTCCTACTTTGTTGACTTCCTTTTTTTTTTTTTTTGTTTTGTTTTGTTTTACATTAGACTTTCCATTTTTTCCCAGATATATAATGCAGCTGTTGTTAGGTTTTAAACTTGTTCTTTAAGGTGGGAGTTTAAAAATTAATCTGGTTTAATGCAGTTTAAGTTACAAGACAGACAAACATTTACTTGCTTATTTATTTATGGTTCTAGGTGAGGTAGGTTCCCCCCTTTTTTTGTTCCTGTTTGTTTGTGTTTTGTTTTTCAAGACAGGGTTTCTCTGTAGTTTTGGAACCTGTTCTGGAGCTCAGTCTGTAGACCAGGCTGGCCTCGAACTCACAGAGATCCACCTGTCTCTGCCTCCTGAGTACAAGGCGTGGGCCACCACTGCCTGGCTCAGCCCACGTTTTAATTTTTGAAACAAGGGCTCTTTAAGTTGCCCAGGCTTGCACTCCCCCTGTAGCCCAGTCTGGACTTAAAGCCTCCCAAGTAGGTGGAGTTATATACTGTGACATCAGATCCCACTTCATCTTAATTTTTTAAAAAGAAAATTAAAAAAAAAGAAAACATTTAAAAAAGGAAAAAAATAGATGGAAAGAAGAAAAAAAGAAAAAAAAATCCTAAATAAAGTCTTGTTATTTTGACAAAACGATTTACCTTTCCTGTAAAAATGTGAAATGGACCAGGGCAGATAGCACTGCCTTTAGTCCACATGGAAAACCCTTCTGCCCTCATAGTGTAAAGTGTCAGTGATGCTGACCAATATGTTTCCTCTTGTGTGTCATTTGTAAAAAGTAGATTCTGCTTTTTATTCTGATGATAGTGTGAAGTGAAATACAAAGGATACTTTTGGGGTGCTCTGAACAGCTTGCTCCTGTGGGATCATATTGAGAGTACCTGTGGCTATAAAATCCAGTGAGAGACTGGATATTTTCAGTGAACATGGACCCCAGTACCATTGTCATTCCTGTCTTGTGTTAATATTAATTTAACATATGAAATAAATGTGCATATCTGTTTTGGTTATGTGAAATGCCTCCTAGTGCATAATAAAGCCCTTCAGTATTTACTTAGCAACTGTTTGCTTATTAGAAAAATCTGCATGGGTGGACAAGAGATTTCCAAGGCCTTAACAAAATATGCTAGGTAGATAGCTGTTTTTTTTAGATTTTTTTATTATGTATACAACATTCTGCCTCGATGTATGCCTGCACTACAGGGGAGGGCGCCAGATCTCAGTACAGATGGTTGTGAGCCACCATGTGGTTGCTGGGAATTGAACTCAGGACCTCTGGAAGAGCAGCCAGTGCTCTTAACCTCTGAGCCATCTCTCCAGCCCTAGATAGCTGTGTTTTAATTGGAGTTTAGCACAGCTAGACTTTGCTTTGCTTTGTAAATTGTGAGTTATTAGTTTTGTGAGGGACTTTGTTTAGGTTTTAAAGCCAATTCAGTTTTAACAGTTCTGCTGTTTCAGGTGAAAGTAGAAACATGTGCCATTCTGAATGTAAAGGGAAAAATGTCATAGCTTCGTATGAGTGGACATCTAGTGTCCTTTATATCAGTCATATGTACTTAAGCTCTTAGCCTTTCCCTGGGTGGGTTCCATGAGAGGGAATTAAACTTTCAACAAAATGGCTTTTCTTGCTTTGATGGTGGCATCTACTTCGCTGGCCTTTAGTTGCAGAAAGTTACCTGATTTCCTTACATAAAGGCTTAGGGAGCAGTTCTCTGAACCTAGCTCGAGAAGGGCTGTAGATAATGATGGTCATTGCCCTTCTTTCTTTGGAATCGCACTAAGTGGACCGGGTTTTGTCCTTTTCTCCTGGTTGGTCCTGGTTGATACTGGGGCACGGAATCAAAGAATGAAAAGTTGGCAGCTTGAAGAAAAGGCTAACAGCATGAATGAGCACCATCCCCAGGGAGTGACAGCGTCTGAGAAAAGGGACAGGCTCAGGGTTAAGTATATTAATAATCTTCATGTATGGAATCAGTGGTGAGAACAGTCAGCCCCTCACCCCCCTCTTTAAATAACTTGTGTTAGTTCTTTTCTTTTTCTTTTACGACAATGTCTCATGAGCCATTCTGGCTTTGAACTGGGATGGTTATGATCTCCTTTCTGATCCTGCTGTCCCAGCCTCCCCAAGTAGGTGTCACTGGGGCTTTTATTCCTTCTGTCTTAGCCTCTAGGGGCTGGGACTAAGGGTATATGCAACCAGTAGTCTTTATTTTTTAAGTTAAACTGTTAGGTTGGCATTCAACGTCATGATGGGTTTTATTATTGCCTCTTTATCTTTCATTCTCCTCCATCCATTATTGAGCTGGCAAAAAGGCATTTAAGAAGAGTTTCTCTGCTTTTGTTTAGAATGGAAGAAACCTGGACGTTGTATGTTGGAGTGGTGGTTAAATAATCATGCATATGTTGAACAGGCATGCAAACTGCAGAACAGTGGGTATGATGTGGGTCCTGTTTTGCTTAGGCATTTATATAAATATTCACTTTATATAAAAATTGCCACAAAGGATAATGGTAGCATTTTCCCACAAAAGTTTGTAAAGTTAGAAGATTTCAGTTTTTTAATAAAGGTGTGGAAATTAAATTTTTGTTTTTTGGTTTTTTTTTTGGTTTTTTGAGACAGGGTTTCTCTGTGGTTTTGGAGCCTGTCCTAGAACTAGCTTTTGTAGACCAGGCTGGTCTCGAACTCACAGAGATCCGCCTGCCTCTGCCTCCGGAGTGCTGGGATTAAAGGCGTGCGCCACCACCGCCCGGTGGAAATTAAATTTTTGTGCATACATGTTTATTGTAATAGCCTTAATTACTAACCAGTTTCTAAGATTTAAAAATAAGTATTGGCTGGGTTTTGAATACTAGTTACATAGGTTTATTTCTTAGTATTCATTTAATGTTTTGAAAACATTTCCCAATCACTCGGTTTTTATTTTTCCTTTTCTCCTTGAAGATACTGTTTTACATTTCGGACAAAAGATAAAAGAAGAGAGAAGCTCAGATTATCTTTTGTTTTGTTGTATTTTATTTTGTTTTTTGTTTATGTAACCGGGATCAGCTTTGAACTTGTTGCAGTTCTCCTGCCTCAGCCTCCCCAGTGCATCATGTAGATCAGTCTTGTGAGCCACGTGTATAAAGATTTGATAGAAAGGTGTCTGCTACACAGAGCTTATGCAGACTGGATTCCCCTCCTTTCCAGTGTGGTGAAGTGTTTCTGGTTCTTTTTTTTTCTTTTTTTTTTTTTTTTTTTTTTTTTGTGTTTCTGGTACTTATGCCCTCCCGCCTTCCCTAACATCAGTGGCAGTGATAAAGTATTGCAGGCTACTCTGCACAGGTTTCTTGAATGAAAGTCTTGCCAAATCTGCTTCTTTGGAATTAGCATTATGTTGAAATTTTGGTTTCTTGGTGAAGGCCATATTTCTGGGATAGCTGTTTCATATTTCTAGATAACATGTTTTACTAGTAAAGATACTGAGATTTTATTATCTAAAAGAACTGGGGTGTGTTTCCATAGGCTCATTTTCAGGACAGCAGTAAGTAAGGCTGGGAAGATCAGTAGGGTAAGTTCTTTACCACTGAGGGCATGAGGTAATTATTACTTGGAGTTTTGAACGGGCGAATACTCTCCTTATACTAGAATCTTGGAAAATTAAAAGCAATGGAAGTGAATATTTTAATCTTTTCTTAAAGCTTAACATCTAATTTAGCTTAA